CACGATCACTGTCCAAACACCTTCCCTTGACCTTTATGAATAACGAAAAAACTTGTTGCAAAAATCGTGGCAAGCTGCTGGCGATATTTTGCGTATTTTCCTTTTCACTTCTCCGTTTCTTCTGCAGCCAGTTTTCGTGTGCTAATTGCTGTTGAACAAGAAGAATTACTCGATAGGAACTTAGTGAAGTGACAGAAATTTGTATCCTGATAACTAACAGATTGTTTCTCAAAAAAGTAGTTACTATCACATTACCGTCGCAAGGCAATAAGCTATTAGTTTTAGACCTTTTCGTTGCTGGAAATATTGATATTAAGTCGTTTCCAAAATAAATTCCAAATAAGTCCTGCAGCTTTTCTACACTAAAGAAACAAGCGTTCATTCACTTTCGATTACTGCAACCGGCACTGTCAGTTGCCTTCTGTGTTAAATTCCAGGCAAAATTTAGTTTTAACGAAATTTCGTTATCTTTCTATTGATTTTGAAACTGTTCACTTGTACAATACATTTCCAAACTGGTTCGATTTAAAAAGATGTTTAAAAAGTCCAGTATTTTTCCCTATAAATTTGAGTCTTAAACAAAATCCTATTGAAAAAGGTTTTAATCGTCTGAGAATCATACTTTGGTAAGTGGACAGGAATGTCACAAGTAAAAAACTTTTTTAACAGTTGAGGTCATAAGAAAAATACAAAAGCTTAAAAAAACATTTAGATTCGCCATCATAGAGCATAAAGTAATTTCCAAAAATATTCCTGAAATCATTTTTTCATTAAGTCAAAAAAGTAATTACGTCTAAGCGCGATCATGTTTTAGGTATACGATTCCTTCGCATAGTAGTACCTTAGGCCCATCTTATTCCGTTATCCTTTAAATTCTCAAAAAAACATACTGGTTTCTTTTTTTTGCTTTGAGAAACCATTCTTAATTTCAGCCGTTGCAAATGCCGCCGAAAAGCAATCTAATTATGTGTTCCAAATAATACTCATAAGTTCATATCTTGTTCTTTGTTATAATTTGCTTCATGGAAAACCAACATAATTTATTACTCCGTTTGAGGTGGTAGCTGAGAAGCGACTTCCTGAACAAATATAACATCAGGAAAAAATCGAAACAACAATTTTTTGTCAGAATTTTGTCGTCAGCTTCACATAAAATTGCAGCACTGTTTTAATTTGACGACCATACTTTGTCTTCCTTTAAAAACTGGCAAATATCGCACGTAATCAAGGTTCCTGTCAATTATATTGTGTGCTGAATTGTTTTGTAGGTTTCTTATTATATCCATAAATTGTATGATTTAACTGTACAGCGTGTCTCTCAGTATAAGTAAAAGGTTCCTAAAGTTTCACCGAGAGGTAAAAAGTTGTAAAAATAAATAATTAAAAATTTCTAGAAATCAGTAATCAGCAAAGAATCCGGAACGTAAGAGATAGATGAGATAGAGTCGCAGAATGAAACTTCAAAATTTCCTTAAGTATTTCTCATATGCGTTGCAGCGTTATTAACCTACGGCAATTCTCCGCTTTCCTCCACCAGCTAAAAATGCATCTCCCTCCTTTTCAGTTGTCCTCTTTAATTCGTTACAGAATTCCTTTGCAGTAACAGTCCCATCAACGCCAAAAAAAAGTTTGCACAAATTACCCTACAAATGCACCAGCAAACGACAGTCAATGCCTTCCGTTAATAAAAATTATTTCTTCGTAACCTGTTTCAAAAAAACGTTTGTTACTCAAGTTTACCGCTCATCTGTACTTTTGTTAATATGTGGTGCCCATAGGGTGCTAGAAGTAGCAGTCTGATCTGAAACAGACTACTTTGAAAAACTACAAAAAATTTTTGTAAAGTCGAATGCGTTCAAAATGCAGCAAATTGATAAATTAATGAAATATTTCCATTGCTCTAAATCCTCTTTCCCTTTGACTCTCTGAAAATACCAGTTAGAGCTACCTAATTTTCTTTCTTGAGTCAGTATTAACTGTCAAGAGTGATACCTGGTAGCGGAAATTATACGGTTTATCTAGAAAAACACTTGAATCCTAGTGCTTCACTTTACTTTTCAGACTTTGAACGTCATCCTTGAACCATGCATTTGCTGACAAATGACGCTTCAAATAACTGATTACTTTTGCACTTGGCCGTCTTAGCAATAATCTTATTTCTACAAAAAAAAAAAAAAAAAAAAAAAAAAAAAAA